GTCACCCAGCTCAACAGAACCACTTCCCACTTGCTGCCTTCTGAGGTAGAGTCTGGTCTCAGGTACAGAAGTCAGGATCTGACCAAAGAGTCAAGAGCAAAGCAAGGCTGACATTGAGTGGGAAAGGTGAGATTGAGCAGGGACAGATGTAGGACAGTCAGGGATAGTAGTAGCACACTACATCTAACTCTAGTGCTTGCTTAAGGGTGAGTGTTTATCAGTTTATCATGTAACTGTGTCCTGAAGTAACTCAAGTCCTTTCTGCCACGTGTCTGGCATTGCATAATTCTGACCTGTTTATCAAGCAGCAGCAATGGAACTCGCTGTTCATTTTTTCCCCCTATGTGTTGGGATCAAGGTAGTCTGCCAAGAAGGTCAGCATATCAACTTTTTCTTGTTGGCAGGCCAAGCAGAGCTTCAGTTTGGTGTTGAGCACACAAAAATGTCCTCCCAAGCCCTACTCATGGGTTTTTTGGTTTTTTTGCTTCTAGTTCTTTGATTGCACAATCTGAGCTATTCTGCATCTTGTTGGTAAATATATGGGTATATTTTGGGTTTGGGTCTTGAAGGGTTCAATTCAAAGGGATGTAAATTTAACCTCTTTTTGCTCAGTAGGTTGTGATTCTCTATTTGCATGTTCAAAGTGCTGTCTTCAAAATGAGTTGTAGTGAGAACAATCTTAGAGTCAGGACCTTGAGGTTCTGCTTTGACCTTTCTGTTCTCTGCCTGTCTCCCCTATTTAAAATGATTTTGAGCTTTTGAAGTGAGGATGGGGAAGGGAAAGGAAAGAAGGAAAGAACTGTAAAGAAGGACCCTGCAGCCACTCTAGCCCACTTGATTTCAGTCTGTATTGTCCATCAGGAGTCCATGACCAGGGTTTTATAAGAAAAAGCACATTCTCCAATTTGGTTCAGAGTTCTGAAATTTTGAGAGGAATCTGCACTTGCACTTGAGAATTTTTAGACTTGGCCACAACTGCATGTGGGTGCTGGGTGTCCTTTGCTCTAGACATGGCTATGACCAAGAGACCAAAATGGGATGTTTTAAGCAGCCTTGTTGGAATGAGCTACCAGTCACAAACTGACAGTGCCTGGGTTCTCCCAGAGTTTTCTTAGGAGCAGCTGCCTGCTCCTCTCTGTCCTGGGATGGGCTGCTGGAGCTGCTGAGGATTGTGAGGTTGAGGATGGTGAGAGGTGCTGGGGGGAGCCAGCTGAGGTGACACACCCCAACAGGGAGGTGCACATGAGAATGTGTGCAAAGGGAGCAGTGATGCATTTTGGAGTGATGACAATGACTTCATGGAAACATCAGGTCAGTGGTGAAAAGGACAATGAAGGGAAAGTGCTGGGATTAACATTTAGAAGATTTGGGAGCAGTGCAGAGAATAACTGCAGCTTGCTCCCCTTCTCCATGGGGCACCTTCATCTCCATTCTCACAAGCAACACTAAATCCAGAGAGGGTTCAGATGATGATGGTCAGAAAAGCAGGAAATAGCTAAATAAGTTAGGAGTCATCAGCCTGGAAAAGGGATCATTATGGGGAATTCTGCAGAGGTCTGCATACTGATGTATGTTGTGGAGACACCAAATCCATTGTTTGTCATCCTCTCCTGTGCAAGAACTACAGGATATATCCAAGTAGTAGGAGGCACATTTTCACTGCTTTTAGTTACACTGTCGAACTCCTTGCAGGACACACTGAATGATGTGAGTGTTTATATGTTCTTAATAGAGGATTGAACAATTTAATGGAAACAAAATCCTTCCAGGAGTACTGAGTGAACAGAATCTCCATCTGGCTCAGTCTGTCTGTGCTCACAGGTGGTTGGAGAGTGGTATTGCTGTTCAGTCAGGGTGTGATTCATGCACATCCTGTACTTCTCCTGTCTCACTTCTTGAAGAGCATCCTTGTCCAGGCTGACCCCTATCCCACAGGGACAGCCATTGTAGGAGCATGTGGGGGTCACCTTCTCTCTGCCTTCCAGCAATTTCTGCAGTACTTGAGTATAAGTGGCACAGAGGTTAAAGTGTCAGGAGAATTGGCAGATGCAGCTGTGGGGAGGGATTTCAAGAAGTTCTGATTCAGTCCTTATTAAAACACTGCTGGATTTTGTAGAGGAAGGAGCTGTTGAGTCACTGGAGGCTCCAAGGGTGTCGTGGGAGTCCCAGAGGAGGCTGTAATATGCTGGACCCATTCCTAGGTGGCGATAGCAAATTGTTAATGGTGCAGGAAAAGCCCAAGTTTTCAGGAAGTGTTTTGAGAAAAGTTGGAGTCTGTGTTTTTAAAATACATGTGATGAGTTACTCCCCACTCTGCTGGTAATCCAGGGTAATACCAAATGCTTTCAATAGGGATACACAATTTAAATCAATAGGCCCTGAAAACTTTGACCTAGAAGTACCAGAAGTGCTGATTCTTGTTTTTAATTCAGATTATTAGGAAATTTCAGAAGGCTGGCTGAAACTGGCCAGTACTGGAATTACCCGTATGCCACTGCCCTCATGTTTATTTTGGGCAGAATTTTAGGAATAGAGATCTGTTTTTTATTAATAAATAACTTAAGGTTTGACATATGATTAATGCCACTCAGCTGATGTTTACAGTGAGTACAGTAAGTTCACTCAAACAACTGTGGTTTGTTGTTTAAGATGACCATGGTGATGTGATAAGGCTGACAGTGTAGATTTAAAGCCCCTGGTGTGGTGCCAGGTCCAGGTTCAGCACCACACAACATTTGAGTTGAAAAAGTAAACTCTGTGTAACATCAGCAAAGTGCTGGGTGAGCAAATTTCTTTAACTGATTATGTTAGTGGTTTTGTGGGGAGAATAAGATTCAAAACAAGCTTTTTCCAGGCATTGTTGCTGTAGGTACCACGTTTGTCATTGTGTTCAAGGTCTTTATTCAGTCCCTTTTCACTGGAGTTCCCCACCACCATTGGTGCTTCAGCAAGAACTGACACTGTGAAGCTCAAGCCTTAAAAGAATAGGAGGAGGGTTTTTTCAGTAGGATCAGCTGTGATCTGTAGGTAAAGAAACCTTTATTTCTCACACTGCAGAACCAGTAATGTCTGCATTGGCCCAAGCATTTAGTGAGCTCATCCTCATGGTGGGACATGCTGTTGTATTTTCTATGGGAGCCTTACCCAGTGCATGGTGTGTGAGCACTTCACTGCTTAGATGCAGCTGATGACGAGTTCTTGGTAGGTGCTTTGTAATGCCAGGAATGTTTTGTATGCAGAAGATCTAAAAGTGTGTATTTGGATTGTATTATGAGTACATTAAGAGATAAATTGATTTATCATCTGAATTATAACTTCTCAAAGCTCCATTAGAGAAGTTCTGAATTGACACTCAGGTAACAGGTCTGGTTTTGGGGAGACTAAAATAATAGATCAGTGATGGCAACAGAGCAAATAAAAGGGATAGTGGAAAGGAGCCACAGTTTCAAAAATATTTCAATGATATTTTTACTGGATGGAGTCTTAGCAGTGAAAGTTTGACAACAGACTCTAGAGCCCCTATCACTTCCTCCTTTGTTTTGGCAAGTCAGTTTGGCATTGTTTTGTGCTTGCTGAGGGTGCTGCCTGTGCTGTTGTCCCTGTCTCTCAGGAAGATTTGAAACGGGACTGGTGCTACTGTCAGCAGCTTGTTTGGAGCTGATCCGAGGGGAGGCAGAGCTGGCTCTTGGGACATCTCAGTCTGTTCCTGTTGGATGTGTGGGACTAAGTACAGGAAATTACTCACCATTTCTAGGCTAGAATTTGCTGGGAATCCTTCATGCCTTTCACTCCCAAAGTTTGCTCAGAGGTCCAAAATCTTGGACTGTGGCATGTTTCAGTTTTGCTTCATTCCCTGACTTTCCCACTGGCATTAATTTAGTGTGGTACAATAAGCAGGGCCTTAGACATGCACTGACTGTTTTGTGCTTCTGTGAGAAGCCCTGAGCATGTGGGTGCTGGTGCCTCAGTGTTGTAGCACTATTTTTCAAGATTGAATTTCTGGTGCCCTCATCTTGTTGTTGGCTTTGGAGGAAAATCCTGGCTCACAGAAGTGCTCCATCCAGCCCACCTTCACAGGGCTCTGCTCTGTAGTTCTCAGGGTGCTCAGTCTCTTTGTGCCTCATTGCAGGATGTGCATTTCCTGCACAGTCTCTGTGTTTCTTACACAGTCCCTTTGCCTGAGCCATTGCTCCACATTTAACAGAATCTGCAGCACCCTTGGCTGTGTAAGGTCAGCAGATGGCCAAAGCACCTTCTTTGCTTCCCTAAGGATCCAGCCATATCCATATAAAAAACACAGGTGTCTGTTTTTAATGTTGTATCACTTTATGGAAGAACTCTGTCTGTCTGTGAGATGTGGCTTTGATTGTGCCATTCAGAGGAATGATCCAAATGAAATTACTGGGATATATAGAAAAGAACAACTGGGCAGGGTACAGCTGTAACCCTTAGCACAATGTTATTGGCAGAAGAAATAAAAGATATTAATAAAAGATATTAATATTAGTACTGACCACTTTGCATTGAACTCCCCTTTGACATTTGAGGGCTGTGTTTTAAGCTGTCTGCAGAATGGGAAATAATGTATCCCAATGGAAACATAGAAATCCTTATCAAATAAAGATTTAAGGATGCAAAAATTGCCTCTCTCCATTTCTTACACCTGTCACAGCACTTACAGACAAAGCTGAAACTGTCTGAGAATTATTTTGTTAAATGCTTTTGTGGGAAGAATTTGGTTTTGGGAAACACAAGTGTTTTACAAAAGGAGTTTGCTTCACCTCAGGTAAGATAAAAGAGAAATGTGTTGAAATGCAAATGGTGTGTTCTGATTAATTTCTTTTTAGTTACAGGTATGTGAAAATTAATATTGGGATGAATCAGGAGTGGCAATCAAATTTATAAACTCCCACAGAAAACGGTGTCCTGAGGGTTGTAGTGGTTCCATGTGGTTCTGCTGAGCTGGCTTCACTGCTGTCCTGTTCTTTTGCCTTTTGCAGGATGGGATAAACATTCTTATGGGTACCATGGAGATGATGGGCACTCCTTCTGTTCCTCGGGGACAGGGCAGCCCTACGGCCCCACGTTCACCACTGGAGATGTCATTGGCTGCTGTGTCAACCTCATCAACAACACCTGCTTCTACACAAAAAATGGCCACAGTTTAGGTGAGTGAGGGTGTTCTCAGGAGTGGGATGCTCCAGCCCTGCTCTTGCTGCTGTTTAATACTTGGCTGTATTGTAACTCTTGTCCCACACCTGTGAGTAAGGTTTAAATGGCAGAGGAAAAGAGCCCTCAGCAGCTGTCAGCAGTTGTAAATTGGCTCCAAGGCAGAAATGCTTCCAGCAGGTAAAATGGTTTAGATATGTTAGAATTTCATCCACAGCTTCTTCTGCTTTCCTCTGCTACTGCACAGTAGGTGGGAGGTTGGATAAGATGTCTGATGGCTGGACAAGAGGGAAAGAAAGAAGTGGGAAGTTTAATTAGTGTTTTGTTCAGCTACCTACAAAGGCACAGTACTGGTGTCTTCATTTTTGAAGGGACTTGTCCATCTAAAAGCCTCAACACATTGGTCTGAGCATTCCCAAAGCCAGGCATTAATTCTGCACAAGAGTGGTCTGAGTTAAGCATTGAGCTACAATGTGGTTCATTCCACACTTGTTTCAGTAACTGTCTTAAAGTTAAGGACTAAAAATTTTGCCCAAATTAATACCTCAGATATTTCTTTCGTATCTTATTTGTCTAAAATAGAAATTTTTGACCATTTCCCCCTAAAATACAATTTTCTTGGATGACATGTTCTCCACCCCAGATAAATTCTTGTCTTTTTTTTTTTAACACATAAGATGTGCAGTAAATTTTTGTAGGTTCATCTCACTTTTTGTACTGGGATTCATTTGATTTGGCAGGGAGGGATGAGCATTCCTTTCCTTTGCTTCTCCTTGCTGTGTCAATTCTAGTTTGTTGAATTCAAGATTAAATTGGTAGAAAAATACCAAAAATACCCTGCTCAAGACACTTAACAGAGCAAAGATGTTTTGAGTTACTGGCTGGGCTGACGGAAGGAGTGGGATTGGAGTGCAGTGTGTGCCTGGAGAGTAGAGGATTTCTGGTGAGCTCTTGGGAACAGTGCTGGGCTCCCCAGTGTTGGAGAGAGAGGGACTTACTGGAGAGAGTCCAGCAAAGGGCTGCCAAGGTGATGGAGGGCTTGGAGCATCTGTCCTGGGAGGAAAGGCTGGGCTTGTTCAGGCTGCCCATGTCAGTGCAGTACTGCTGAGACAAGTAGAGGCTTGAAAGCAACAGCTGATATTGTAGAGCAGGAGCTTTTGATTAGGAGTGAGACAAGACAGAACAAGAGAAACTGAGGTAATGAAATAGTTAAAAAGATTTCACAAAAGGTCTCCTGTTAGTTGCTGTCCTTGATTTTTAGCCTGTATTTTTCTGTAGTGGTTTGTGCTGTGCTCCTCTGGATGTTTTCTGTTGTTTAAGTGGGTGCTTTTCCAGCCTCACTGTTTTTCAACCTGATGGGGCTGTTACTTTTCATCATAACAAAAGTGTGAGAGTCAGGAGGAGGCCAGATCCTCTGTTTAATGAATACAAGTTTGTTCATTTGCTATTTAATTTCTTTCTAATAACCAGAGTCTCCACTGTATAATCTGTATCAGTTGCAAAGTTGCTGCTTTCTCCTTCTCTGTTTTGTACCCAGGACTGTGCCCGGGTCTCTGGGCAGATGAAGCCAAATAAAGAGCCCAGTTCAGTAACTTCTGTGTTACCTTTTGTCATTACCACCCTCTGATTCTTTGCCTCGTGTCCTTGCTCAGAGATTTGTTTGGTTTGGGACATTCAGAGTTCTTTACAGCAGAGGAGTTATCTAGTCTTCCTTTCTGAAACTGAAGTGTTCCTTTTCCTTCAAAGATGGGGCTTTTTTGGATGGAAAGCTTGTGTTTTTCTAATCTGACATTGAATGACCCCTTGAGGAACAGCCTACCCCAGTGCTGAACAATGCCAGTGGGAAGAAACAGGAAAGGTAACAAGAAAGTTACCATGCTTAGAGAACAGCATCATTTATAAGCATTGCTGTCCCCTGGGTGTCCTCTTGAGCTCTTCAGATGTACAAGACATGAGCTGTCTGAGAAAAGGACAGGGAGAAGCCTCTCCTTAGCATTCACAGCTGGCTCCTGTGTGTAGCAGCTTTTCTTTGAGCTGCAGTGGCACAATGGTTGTACTGGGAGAGATGGTGTGGTTAGAGGAGACAGGGATGGAAGTGCAGAATGGAGCAGCAGAGCTCAGGCCTTGCTGGGTGACCCCACAAAAGCTGCAGGAACATTTTACTGCCTTTTTACAAAAGCAGAACGAAAACCTCATCTGAGGGGGCTGTTGGTGAGGGTCAGCAGTGTCTGTGTGTGTCACTGATAAAGAAACAGCATCCAGGAGAAATAAATGCTCCTATGCTGAGGAGAGGAGCCCTTGGCCAGGGATTACACAGCTCCTCCTGGGCACAGAGCAGAGGTGTGAGCAGGGGGTCAGGCAAGTGTCAGCAGAGGAACCAAGACCAAATGGAGGCAGGAGCAGTGATTTGTTTGGAAGTCAGAATGTTTTCTTCCCTGAAAAAAGCAGCTCCTTGAAGGTCTTGAACTTCCATGATATTTAGTGCTAACCTGAGAATCTCATTTCTGTGTTGTGTAGACCCAGGGTTTACCAGGAAGGGGATGAATTTGAGTTTTTTAGGTGTTCCCTGACATGAAGCTGTGGAAGCCATGTGTGTCTCCTCCTAGGAGATGAGGTAATTGTGCAATCCTACTGCAGATGCCAAGAATATTCATGAGGCTAATCAGCCCCTTTGTGAGGCCAGTTAGCTTGAGAAGCAGCGTTTCAGAGTTTGAATTTGTCTTTCTTTTGATGGAATTACTGTAGCTTTGTCTTTCTAATTCACTCTTCACCATTTAAGTCCTCTTCTTTTCATCCATTAATTAGACATCCCCCCTTTTGTTTTCCTTGCAATTTCTTCTGTTGCTTAACTATTATCTTCCATTGTCTCCATACTTTTTCATTTAATCAGATCCATCAGGAGCACTGTATAAGAGCTGTTTTCTTGGCCATCACAAATTCTGGATGTTCTGGTTGGAGCTAAGTCTTGAACTTTATTTGGAGACGTCACATGAAAACTGTTTGACATCGTATGTAGTCTTAATTCTCTGTTCTGGAAAATGTCTTGAATGTCTTCTGGCTGCTGATGAAACACTTTTGACAAGTTCTGAGCAGAGTTCTGGCAGTAAAAAACATAGTGAGATGTGGCTAGAAGTGTGATGAGAGTGAATTTGGAGAGAAAGAGGAAGAAATGTTGGGGCACCAGCCATTAAGCAGAAAGACTTGGACTAGGAGGAGGAAATGTGACTGCTGCAGGTCTCTGGGTTTAAGTGGATGAATTTGCTCAGGGATTAATGTAGGAGTGTCTCAGATCTCAGACTTTGACAGCAGACCAAGGTAAATGGAGCAGCAGGGCTATAAAAAGAGCATGCAACCCTCTGAAGTCTTGGCATAGAAAACTTCCTGTAGTTTGAGTTCTAGTGCAGGCTCTTGGAAAGACCAAGTTAACCTAAAAAGTAAAATATCGACTCTGCAGCCAGTTTAGAGACTAGGGGGAACATTGGGAGTAATGCAGAAACCTGTAGTGAGAGACATGCAGGTGTCAGTCCCAGATTTAATAGGTTTGACCCCAAGGCTTCAAATGAAGTTTGCAAGACAGCAAGAGCATTGGGATGTTCAGAACAAGACTTCAGATTAATCAGATTTCAAACCACAGAATCCTGGAGTGGTTTGGGTTGGAAGGGACCTTTAAGATCATGTATTCCAACCCCTGTGCTGTGGGCAGAGACACCTTCCATGAGTCCAGATTGCACAGGGCCCCATCCACCTTGGCCTTGAGCACTTCCAGGGATGGGGCAGCCACTGCTTCTCTGGATAACCTGTGCCAGGGCCTCACCACCCTCATTGCCTACCATAATGAACAGAAAATACCAGGTTTGGCCACAGCCTTGTTCTCTGTGTGAGCACTTTTACCCAATGGTAAAACTGATCCTCACTGGAGGATCTGTTTCCAAGGGCATGTAGAGCTGTGTGGGTTTGACAGTGCTTCTCCTCAGCAGCATGCTGGAGAATATTCAAGTATTTTCCTGGGCTGGCATTTCCTGGTCTGCTCTTTAGGATGCCCACACTGCTGAAGGAGTTGTGTTCATTGCAATCCACCAGCAGTGCTTAAGGATTCCCTGGATCTCAGTTCCCTAAACAGGTGCTGGAGGAGTTCCCTGCTGTGCAGGCAGTGCTGTGGCTGATTACCAAATGCACATTTTCTTGTGCAAATTGAATTCTGTAAGTGGCCAGCTGTGAGGCAGAAAGGGTGATTGGTGCTGGTGGAGAGCAGAGATGGGCTGGAAGGTACATAAACACATTCTGTGCATGGGGTCATGTGTAAGTGCAGGCATGGAAAGTAGAAGTCCTTTGTATGGTTGGCAGGTGAAAATGTCAATCACACTGTGCCCTAGCAATGAACCTTCATTCAATGTCTTTATATGTCCTGCTCTTCACACACTTGCACTTGCTTCCTGGCCTCTTTGTTTGTCCAGTCCTTAAGTGTTTTAGAAGGTTTTGATTTTAAACTGTATCCATGCTTTGGAGAGACTGCAGAGAAGGAAAACAGTTTCACATTCAAGCTGTGGTTATTTCATTTGTGCTGTTGGCTTTCCTGGTGCAGGTGTGTAGCAGTGCAGATGCAGAAACTCTGAGCAGACATGTCTGTGCAACAGACCAAGTGCTGTCTGCATAAAGCATTTTATTAGTCTGAGTTACATAACAAAATGTGGAAAACATGCATTTGTCTCATTGTAAAGGCAATGTAATGAGTTTATTTATAGAATCATAGAATTATTTTCTCTGGGAGGGATCTGTGGAGGTCAAGCATCCAACACCCTGCTGAAAGCAGGCCCAAACTAGATCATGTTACTCAGAAACTCATTAAGTTTTTACTGTCTTCAAGAATGGAGATCACCTGGGAGCTTTTCTGGTCCTGATTCAGTGTTTGACCAAAATCCATACTGAATTTTTCTCATTAGAATTTCCCATGTTGCAGCTTGTCTGCGTTGCCTCCTGTCTCCTGCCAGCATGCATCTCTGAAAAAGCCTTTTTACACCCTCCTGTGTGACAGTTGTAGGCGGCAGTAGGTGTCTGCCCTAATGCTTTTGAGACTGAACAGAGACTTTTCCCTTAGCCTGTCTTTGTCCTGCTGGCTTCTCCTGGACTCAGTCCAGTCTCACTGTGCCCTGTGTTGGGGAGCCCTAAAGTGAACATCATAACTGCAGTGTAGACTCACCAGTGTTGGAAAAGAAGGCAGAAATCCCATCCTTTAACCTACACTGTCACTATTACACTCAGGATGTGGTTGATGTCCTTTGCTGCAAGGACCCACTGCTGGCTCCTGCTCTGCTTGTTGGCCAGCAGGACCCAGAATCTTTTCTGCAGATCTTTCTCTGCAGTCAGCCTCATCCTGTCCTGTTTCCTGGGACTATCACAGCCTGGTGGCTGGGCTCCTAGGTTGCTTTTGTTGAGCTTTGGGAGGTTTGTGCTGGGTCATTTCTCCAGCTACAGCACTGTGCCCTCCAGTTTGGTGACACCTGTGAGCCTGCTGGGAGCGCACTGTGTCCCATTCTTCAGATCATTGGTGAAGATAGGGAACTGTGTTGGCCCTGCCATGGATCCCTGAGGGACAACTCTTGGACTTTGAGCAATTTTCCACCCACCCTGTAGTCCATTCAAAAGCCAAGTGCTTGTCCAGGTGCTGGGAGCAGCTTCCCAGCCACACAAATACACAAGCCTGGCCACCTTTGGCTCTCAGAGGTGCTGGGGGCAGAGGAAGACTCCAGTGGACAGCAGGCTCAAGGAGATTGGCTTCATTCTGCCATAAGAGTAGGAAAACAAGCTTTCATCCACCTTTCCATCCAGCTGAGCAAAATAATTGCAAAGAAAAAAAGGTTTGAGTGAGGAGCAATATCTGGGCAAGGTGACAGGGTGAGAGAAATGCTCACTGAATGTTTTCCTCAGCCATGTGTTCAACATCGCCTGTGCTCACAATCTTTGGTTGGGTTGTAAAAAAGGTGCTCGATAAACAAGATCCAAACTGCCAGGATGTTCATTAAACCATACTGACTATCTGCCATGTTGTTAATTTATCTTTATTTACTGTTTATTTAGTAAAATATTCAGGATTGCTTTCCGAGCATTTGATTTAGATCTGTGCTGTTTTGAATAACTTGTTTCCTATCTTGACTCCTAAAACTGGTTTAAATTACCATTTCAGACTGATCTGGTAACATTACATTGCAGTTCTGGGTTAAAGTAGTCCTAAAATTAAACCCAGAGGGTGGTGTTCTCCTGCTTCTGCAGTCCTTGCAGTGCCAGGCAGAAGGGAAGGAGGAGAGGTGGGATGTGTGTGAGAACTGGGTGTCCTGCTGTGGGTACCAGCCTTGCCCTGGCTGGGGACAAGGAAGAATTCTGGGGAGCACACATGGGGAAGGGCTGCAGCTTCCTTGACTCCTGGAATGTCAGCTGGAAGTCTGGATTCAGCTGAGCCTGGTGGGTGATGGCAGCAGTGTCCCCTGTGCTGCTGGTGAGGGTGACCCAAAGCCTGGGGGGCTCTGCTGATCCATCTCCCTGAGCTGCTGCTGGATCCCACCATGGCAGGAGAGGGAGGAGAGGGAGCATCCTTTGGGGCAGTAACTGCACCTAAATCAGGTGCAGAGCCTGGGGCAGCCTGGCTGTGGTGAGTGTTGTCTCCAGCCAGAACCGTGTTAGCCATCCCAGGCAATGTCTGCCTCAGCCTAAATACCTCTTTTCTGCCAGATGTAAATAAAAGCTATTATGTTTTATTTATTGTATTATATTTATATTTATTTACATCTGCCAGATGTAAATAAAATATATGCCAGATGTAAATAAAAAGGGAAACCATACACTTTTTTATTCCCATCTTTTCTGTTTGGAGCTGTATCAGCTGAGTTGAGGATGAGGCTGTTCTTTCAGTTTCTCAGGTGCTCCTGGCTGCAGCTTGTAATGCCAAGTGCTGAATATTCATTCCTCTTACTCTCGCTGATAAGAAGAATGAGTTACAGCCTAAACCAAAGCAATTTTATACTAAAACTCTGTTTCTAACACCAAAGTGAATCTTGAAAACTAACTCCTTCCTTGTAACAGAGGGAGAAGCAAAGGAAAGAGGAGCTGCTTTTAGAAAATAAAATTTTTGGGAGAGATGTTGAAAATATTTAGGCTTTTTCCTGAACCTTTCTCCAGATGCAAAACCTTGCAGAGGAGGGGACTGGGGAGGGAAGTTACTTCTAAATACATGAAGCAGTGAAATGCAGGGTCAGAGCTGGGATTTGAAATGCAGTAATGTTTAGTAGCATGTTAAGGATGTAGGCAAGCAGGGAAAAAATCCTTTGTCTTTTTAATTCTAATATTTTTTCCCCCACAGGTATAGCCTTTACAGACCTCCCTGTAAGTACACCTATTTTCAGTATTTTAAGTAAGGATGCAAACAGAAGGGAGGGGGAAGAGTGTGGGGGTGTGTTTTTTTTTTCTGTTTGATGCCCTGGTGAAAAAAACCTGATAACACACATTACTGAATGATGTGGATGCTCCTTTTTCTGCAACTTCATAATCCTGTGACTGGGTTTGTGGGCTACTCACATGCCTCCTCTCATCCCTCACCACCTCTGAGAATTTATTGCTCCTTCTCCTGGAATTAAAGCAAGGATACAAACTTCATTACAGGTCATTGTCTTCCAAATGCAGCTTTGACTCTGAGGAGGAGAACATGTGCATAGTTACACTCATGTCTAGTCAGGTCTCACAAAAGCACAAGAAAATATTCCCTCCTTTCTAGACCAAGTGTTCCTGGACAAGGAGAATGTGTTCAGTGAGAAAAGGTAAACCCAGGTCAGGCATGCACCAACATATCCACTGCATCCATCACATACACAGGACTTCTCGTCCCTAAGGTTGCTCTCCTGTCTTTGTGCTTAAATACCCCAAATTAATTTCCTCTGACAAATTTCTTCATTTTGATAACTTTTTTAGGCCTCCAAAGTGATAAATTTTCTTGGCTGACTTGGCTCTTGTGTGTAAGGAAGGTTGCTTTGCTTTGTTCTGTACTTCCTGGCAAAAAATTTATCTTGTTCCTCTAATTTTTGTATTGTGAGGAATAATGTCTAGTACTCCCTGTTCACCTTCCCAATGAGATTTAGGGCTTTACAGATTCCTCCCATATCCCAAATATAACCTGCACTTAAATTGCAGTTATTTGATTGGTCTTTTCACATCAGCTGTCAATACAAGGTGTTTGGGGTTTTTTATGTCCTGGAGTCTTTGAACTTGGTAACATTGCAGTGTGTTCTAAATCAGAAACTCTTTATGTGGGTTATCATTCACTTGGTCCAAGTACAATTTATTAAAGTACAAGGATAGTTTGCCTTTCCATGAAGATTAACCTTTTGGAGTGAGGTATTGTGATAACCTTACATCCACAGCAAGAAGATGCTTCTCTGATGTACCCCTTAGTTTTTGGTGCTGTTTGTTTTCCCTCTGGATATAGATTGCATTAGTAGTCACAGATTTACCATATTCCTTCTAACTTTTTCACCACTTTGTCTTCTCATTTGGTTAGACTGCTTCTCCTTCTGCAGCAGGAGCAGACATTGTCCATGTTGTCAATGACAAATGACAATGTCATTGTCCATGTTGAGATTGAGCACAGATTTAGCAGCTTGAAATTCCCTGTCCTGCTTAGCTGAACTTGCATCCTGTTGATCCTGGAGTGCCCAGTGGGCTGACACAGAATTTAATGTTCATGTGTGAGCTGCTCACCTCTGCGCTGAGTCTCTGCTGGGCACAGGGGATGAGCAGCAGGGGAGGCAGAGCAGACAGAAGGACAGAAGGACAGAAGGGTGTTTGCAGCACTGAGCTCTTGCAGTGCCAGTGAGATTGAACTCAGAACTCTCCTGTGCCCCTGGCATCTCCCTGCTCTACTGCTTGCTGGTCTGGGCAGATCATCCTCACAGGATCTCAGGCTTGTTTGTCTGTGTGTCCTGTGCAGAGATGTTTAGTGTGAAACTGGGAGAAGATCTGGCCAGGGTAGGTTTTGGCAGATGCCTCATTTGGTGTGTAAATGGTCTCTGAACCTTCACCAGCCAGGTTGCTGAGCTGTTTTCTGGGGAAATCCCCTCTGGCTTTTACAGCAGCAGCTAATCCATAACACTGCTTTTCTGGGCTAGGAAAGAGAACAGCTGATGCCCTGTAGGCCTCCTACTACTGAGAATTATCCTTCATGAGATAATTCCTCTTCAAAAAGAGGAGGAAAGAAGCTTGATGGGGATTTTTTACCTCTTAACTGTGGATGTGAGCAAGGATGGGAGACTTCTGCCTCCATATGGATCTAGGACATCCCTCTGCATATGCTAAATCACTCTGCTGCTCTGCTGGCAGCTTCCTAAGGGTGCCTACAGCTGACTTCAGCATTCTCTTTTCCAAAATCCTTCCCTTGGATTACTGCATTCTCTTTTCCAAAATCCTTCCCTTGGATTACTACATTCTTCCTTCACCCTTGCAGGTACCAATGTGTTCCATGTGCTCTTTTTGCTCCCTTGGCCCATGGATTATTGGTTGTTCCAAACAGTTCAGGTTACCACCTTTCCTAAAGAAGGGGATGCCAAACCCAAGATTGACTTTGGTTTAAAGTCTATCAGATATTTTAGAATTCTCGAGGCAGCAGAGAATATGAAGCTGATCACTTGCAGGTTTCATTTTTTATAGTTCTCTGTTCCAGGCTCAAACACAATATCCACTGATTATAAGGTAAAAAAAAAGAAAGTATTCATTACAGAGTCTGTGTTCTTCACCTGCTAAAGCTGCAGTTCTGAAAATTTAACTGCAAACAGGAGTGGAAACAGCAAACTTACCTGGGTGACCCTTGAAGTGCTCTGGTTTGAGCAGCTCCACATGGATTTTTTGGCTCTGCTCCATTCCTCATTACTCACCCCTGCAGGGAGACTTTAGGGAGAGCTTTTCCTTGCATCACAGCCTGAGGGGTGCTGAAGCTGACTGGTAACACACATCAGTGAACCCCCTTACTTCTGCAATTTTTAAGCTTAAATTTTAGGATTGGCACATCAGTGAGGTTACACAAGGAATTAAATTGACCCTTCAGAACATTGCCAGATTAGAAATAATTTCCTTGAAATGCTTGTTCCAAAATTCCCCTTTCAGAGGCAAATAGCGAAAGCAATATTTTGCAGAATTCACAATATTAGGAAGTTGAAATGGATACTTTAATTTGAAAACCAGAGACACAGATGTTGAAACATACTTGCTTTGGTTTCTTTCAGTTTCCTCTAAAGGGTGTTTTCATTTGTACAAAAATACAGTGATAGGAAAAAACACATTTTGGCTTAGCACAGGCTGAAGTTAAAACCAAAGTAACTGCTTGAAATAGGAGTGAATTCCCACAGAGGAAAAGAAGGAGTTTCTTTTTCTTTTTCTTTTTTTTTTCTTTTTCTTTTTTTTTTTTTTTGGCAATTTAAGTCAGTGCTCAGGCCCAACTCTTATTTACACAAGCCTGGATCAGGTCTATCCTGCCTGGAGGTTTGAAGGAATAATAGGAGATGAAAAAAACCAGAAGAGCTCAGGGTGGGATTGTAGGAGTGCAGAGGGACAAGGGGGTTAAAAACCAGGTCAGGATGAACAGTGGGGTTGTGACCAACATCAGGGCAGGAGGTGGGCCAGATGTCATGGGGAAGGTGTTCCTGAGGAACTTGGCAGGAAAAGCATCTCCTGGGTCTGTGGGCTCTGGGATTGTCTGCCTGTATCTGGCAGGGTGCTGGAGATACATGAGCTTCCCAGCAGCTGCTAAGCAGAGAGAACACATCCCACGTGGAAAAATGGAATTTTACCTTAGAGATGATTTGAGAGATGTAGAGAATAGGCAGCTTCTGCTCAAAGATGAGCGTAGCCAAAACTGGGGGGGGTTTGTTTCCAACTTCCAAGTATTTTGGGTGTCTGATTTCTGGCTTTGGAAGCCCTTGGGTTGAAGATACTGAGAAGATAGTAAGAAGTCTGAAGTATGGACTGTGGAAAATATCTGATTCCTCATTAGAGATATTTCCATGTCAGCCAGTTTTGAAGGAATGGAGGAACTAAATGTAATTGCAGCATTTTCCTCTGGTAGCTCTTCCTTTATCATGCTGTATTTACTTTGCACCTCTCTGACCCAGAGACTTCCTTGGTGTGGGAACAGGAAAGGAGGTGTAGTGCATCACCACTAATGCAGTCATCCTGATCTCTGTTTTCCATTTCCAGTCTGTATTTATAGATTCATTTCTTTCCCTTGTTTGAGGTTTGATAATTTCAAAGGTAGAGAAGGTTGGTGAGGTTCTTAACCAGTTCAGTTTTGAAAATGAGAACAGGAATGCTGCAGTCGCTCTTGGAACCCATTCCAGCCCTAAATCATCCTCATCTCTGCAACAGGGAAGAATCAGTTGAAAAAATTTTTCAGATAATTCTAGGAATGCCCATGTCTCTTGCTGTAGAGGAGGAGAGGGTCATCCTAGGTTTCTGATGGGACTTTAGGAGGGATGTCTGCCCCTCTGCTGTTCTAATATCTGATATGGGCTCAGCCCTGAGCAAGGCACTGCAGCCAGGCACCTTCCAGACCTCAGTTCCATATAAGTGTCCCTGTGCCTTGCCCAGTGCCCACTTCTGGCTCCAGTGTTTTAGAGCAAAGTGGAAAAACCCAACACCAAACAGTCCCTGAGTGGCACAAGAGAGATTTCTTCCCCCAGCCTGCAGAGTCTCAGCACGTGCTGTGAAGCAGAGAATTCCTGAGGTTTGTGTCTGCTCTGCAAACACAACAGTGATTGGTGCTGCACTTGAGGGTGAATGGAACGTGCTTTTGAAAAATGGGATTTTGGTGTGCAAGGGTGTGAGCGGGAAGTTTGAGTTGGTGCAGTTTGTGTCTGTTTTGCACACAGAGCAGTAATTTGTGCTGCACAGCAGTGACCTGACAGTGCTTTTGAACAATGTGCTCAATGATGAGAACCAGACACCCCTGTACCTCTTCTGATGCTGTTTCTCTTTTCCCAACATTCAAGTGGGCTCAGGGGTTCCATTTGTCTCCACAAGCTTATTCTTAATATAGCATGAATTCAGAGACCTTCTGATACACTTTGAACACCTATTTTTAATTAAATCATCCTTAAAAGCAAATTAGTGGCTGAATTTTAGAGACACTTTCATGATGGTAACCTTTTTATTTTCCTCATGTCCTGTTGATGGGTCAAAGCTTCCATTTGGATCTGTAGACTTATTCTTAAAATGAAATTAATCTATCAGTAGTGTAATTTCTTGTGTGGATGTCTTGGGATCATCAAAGACCTAACCTCAGAGTTCTACCACTGTCTGTTCCCTTTTCATCAGAGATGTACAAGACTGAGATAACAATTCCCAAGGAATAAAAAAGTTGGGTTGAAACAGGAGGGAATACAGAGATCTATTGATTGAGATGATGCACCTCTCATTTTTACTTATTAATTTATTTATTTATTGTTGTTATTAATATTATTATTAGTACTGCTGGTTGTGTTATATTATCTGCTGGCTCTTGAAGCTTGGTAGAAATTGTAGAAAATTAAGCCAGAAGTGCCATCCACAGACAGCAGTCATGCCCTCGATCCCAGGCTGCTGGGGGATTGAACCCGTTGTTCTGGTTTGATGCAACAACTTTTCATAAATGCACAATAAGTCACAGGATTCCTTGAGAAGTACCCAAAGGTCTGTTGCCCCTTCCAGTTCCATTAATATTTATTTCAGTTTAAAGAGCAGCTCTTTGGTTTTACCAAACCACATAACTGGAACCAGGAGGAGAAAGCTGTGTTTAATACAGGTTTGTTTTTCTTCCTTCCCAGTCAAACCTCTACCCTACAGTGGGTCTCCAGACTCCAGGGGAGATCGTGGATGCCAACTTTGGGCAGCAGCCCTTTGTGTTTGACATTGAGGATTACATGAGGGAGTGGAGGGCGAAGATCCAGAGCACCATTAAGCGGTTTCCCATAGGAGACAGGCTGGGAGAGTGGCAAGCCATGCTGCAGAAGTAAGTCACTGCCTTGCTGTTCAGCTTCTTCCCTCTTGGTGGGCTTTAAATACTTCTTATGTGCTCATTTGTGCTCTCTTATGGTAAAAATTCCCACTCTGTGCATTTTGCTCAAGTTGTTTTACCCTCTGTTCTGTTGTTTAAGTCCTTCCTGTGTAGATTGCTGCTGTTTCAAATGTGAAAGATATGGGAGAAGTTTTCACCTAAAGATTGCATGGAAGCTTGTAGGAATGGAAGAACATAAATTTTGGGGTGATGCGCTGCAGGAGGGGCAAGACATCATAAACACTTCTAATACAGGAGAAAAGTCAGTGTGTAAGTCAGCTGAATTCAGAAATGAAAGAGCAAGAAACAGCCTAAACCAAAGGCTTCCAAACCTAACTGAAAGCACAATTACAGCACTTTATAAATTTATGAATATTGAAAGCACTTCTCATTGCAAAAAGGATTGAGTGGAACTTGATGAGGGCAGTTGGCAGGAGCTGTCAGAGGTCAGGAGTGTTATTGATGCTGCTTTTTGCCTTCCAAAATAGGACCAAATTATAGAGCCAGGACCTCCCTTAACAAGAGCTGTTGATTCTGCTGCAGTGGGACCAACTTATCCCTGTTTTTGTTCTTTGTGTTCTCCAGAAATTTTTCTTCTGATGGGCATGGTGGGGTTGTCAGGGTCACCACTCTGAGCTCCTACAGAGCTCTTGGGCAGAAGTACTTGTATTTAAAACAACTTCCAAAAATTACACACCTGCCTACAATGTTATGCCTAAGAATGATTGCTGACTCATAAAATGCTGATTTCTTGTATTGAAAATAGCCAAGTTGAGTGTGTGCTTTGAGCTGTGGCTTGATCAGATCAATGTCACCTTCATCTTGAGGAACCTGTTTTGAGATTCATGGGAAGCTTTGAAATCCTGTTGCTGGCTTTTTAGATTTTGTTAAAATCCAGTGAGCATTAATATTGAGTCGCTGTGTCCTGTGTTAGAAATGGTCTGTTCAGGAAGGTGGCTTTGTTGTGTTTGTTTTCTGACAGTGAAACTCCTCCCTCCCCCAAGATTTTTTAAAAATACAACTTTGAAGCATGTTAATGTTCTTAAAATCAATGCTGACAGCCACCAGAAAGTATCTGTGAGTGTGCAGAATTCATAAGAAGATTGAACTACTAAAGATATAATTGCTGGCAAATAAATGGTGGAAGAAATTCAGGACCAGAATATTTTCATCTTTTTAAGATCTACTTGAAAGCCATGAACCTCTCTGATGTTCATATTTATGTCTCTATAGGATGTCACTGGCAGTAACACAGTATTGAGCCCTTACAGTGACCCTTGGACAGCAGTCATAAATAAATACTGTATATGCATTGAGATTCTTAATTTTTTTCCACTCTGTAAAGTGAATTTAGAGCCTCCCTCCTGTTTGCAGAGGACCAGGTGTCTGTCTTGTAAATACACAGAGTTTAGACCCAGAAGTAGAACCTTGGTTATGTCCTAAGCAAGCTGAGTTTCTCAGTGAAATTGCAACTTCTGTTGTGTTGGTTTCTTTTTGCTCCAGTGTGATGTCTCTGTTTCACTGATACCTCATGATCTCTTTGTATTTTCTTTTTTTCTAGTATGGTTTCATCATATTTGGTCCATCATGGGTACTGTTCAACAGCAACTGCCTTTGCCAGAGTCACAGACACCACAATCCAGGAAGAACAGACCTCAATAAAGAATAGACAAAGTAAGTCTGTGGGGTGTCACTCCTCAGGTGTGTTCCCTTTGGGGCTCTGATGGAGTCAGTGCTGTGGAGGTCATTCCATGAGAGTACAGAGCTGTGCACAGCACTCTGCTGGCCTGGAGCAGAGCTTGGGAGTCTCTGCTAGGAGCACTTTTCCCATCACCACTGCCTGCTCTCCACCCTCTGCATCTTTGCCTGGAGAGCTGCCCTGTTCTTCCTGTCCCTGTTTGGCCTTTACCTGAGCTTAGGTCATTGTGCACCAGAGATCCCTTTGCGTGTGAGCTCCTCTCTGCAGGCTGGTGCAGCAGGGGCGGGTCCATCAGCCTGGGCACAGGGACTCAGACACATCCCTTTAGTTTCACTGGAGCTCCCAGTTAAGGACTCTTCAGTCCTCTGCACATTGTGATTTCAGGTAACTTTTACATGCTGAGGGGTTTTCAAATTCACAGCCAACATGTTAGGCTCACACTGGGTGAAGAATTTGTGCTCTGTGTCTGTTTTGGTTGCTGCTGTTTGCTCCCAAGTGCTTCATCTCTCAGCTGCTGGGATTGTCAGCACTTTTGGTCCTGCAGAATAAGGCTTGCAGCTTTCTCCTGCTGTACATTTTTTTTTTTAACTTTTCTATTCACACGCTCACCCTGCAGAGTGGCAGAACATTGGTGTGTGTTCTGCATTCTCCTGGCTGCTGAATACAGGCCACATGCCTGTACATTTCCCTTCCCTTTGTGAGCTGCTCTCGTGTGACTGTCACGTACCAGGGCATTGTGCCCTTTGTGCCTTGCTCTCCATACATTGATGTGCTTAGCCAGCAGTCAGGGTCATCTGGGGACTCTGCTCTTAAATAACTTGCAGTTGCTGCCTGTTAGTGCTGATGGGCTTGGTGCTTTCCAGGTCATGCATTATGCAGCCCTGGCCCCAGCAGTGCTCCCAGTGCTGTGGTTTAGCTGGCAGAGCCTGACTGGAGGGGGACACACACACGGGGTGCTGCGGGCTCCTTGGGCTGAGGACAGGTGACAAGGCAGATGGAGGGAAGGAATACAAAGCCCTCAAGTTGGGGCTTGAATAAAAGGTGTGAGGAAAACACAGATGGGGAAACAAAAAGAGGGGGAAATAGAAAAGGGAATGACATCTGTGAGAGTTGCCAAACAAGGCAAAGCAGAGCTGTCAGAAGCAGCGAGACGAGAAAATGGACGTGCAAGAGAGTGAAATGAGAGCCCTTGTGTTGGTGTGAGAGCTATGGCTTTGGTTCCAGATTTCAACTATAATAGCAACCAGATAGACACTGAGAAGTGGGAGACATGACAAGTCATTGCAGTTTGTTACTGGCATTGTTAATGAAGATTTGCCAGACTGGGCTTCCAACTGCTCCAACACTTTGCAAAAGCCACAGCCTGTTGTTATCAGAGGCTCTGCTTGCAAAGCACCTCATGGGCCATTCCAAACCTTCCCTCTGCTGTTCATAAGGAGTACTGGAAAAACAATGCTGTTTTAGTTTTAAGTACATTTAATTTTTATCTCTAAGCATGCTTAGAAAAAGGAATTGCGAGTCCCTGTAGATCAGCAGCTTCTCTGAGCTTTCAGGGGTCTCGAGTTGAGTCTTGCACTTGTGTCTTCTGACCTGCTGAAGGAACTTACATGGAACATGAACACTCAGCATGATAAGTGTCTTCTGCCTTGTGTCTTTGCACCTCCTACAAGTGTACAAGTCACTGAGCTGTTTCTAGTGCAGTCAGTAACTGGTACTTCTCTCTATTCAAAACATGGGGTTTTTTATATAATTACTTCTGCTTAGTGGTAAGAATATTGTGGAAGCAGTGCTGTGATTTAAGACCACAGACCCTGTAAGAGTACTGCATTTATCTCATACTGAGCCATATGTTTGAGCCAGACAGAGAATGTAATATGAGGGTGACCTAGGAATTTGACCTCTCAAACTGTCACTTCCCCAGCAGGCTCCTTGTTTCCATCCAGTTGGCATGTCCTGCTTTTGTTTCCATTGCTGCAGAGCTGTTTTCTCTGCTGCAGAGCACCTCAGCCAACCTTCTTTATCCTTCAGATCCTTCAATTATTGATGGCTTTTTGCTACTAAAAGATCCTTTCACATTTTCACAGGGTTTTCCTCCCCCTAATCCATAATAAACCAAATATGGTCTCCAGTTCTCCCAAGCCCTTGTTCAAGGTGGTCGTGGGGACCTGGATGGAATGGATGGGACAGCTCTTTTGGCTGTTCCTGTGGGCTGATCCTGTGTGTCACCAGGTCTCCTTTTGCTTTCAGGAATACAGAAGCTAGTATTAGCAGGCAGAGTGGGAGAGGCTATAGAAGCCACCCAGCAGCTCTATCCTGGCCTCCTAGAACATAACCCCAACCTGCTCTTCATGTTAAAGTAAGTATGAAAAGCTTTATGCTCCCTATTGCTGAAATGTGTAGATGAAGGAGGGAATAAGAACATGGGTAAGCATCCAGTCTGGCTGCACACCTTGCTCTGAATTCACACTGTTTGAGCTCCCTTTGGGACTCCTTTGCAAGTGCTTGTAGCACCACAGATGTAGCCCTTTTGTTGCTGCTCAGACCCAGTATAGCTTTGTCTCATGAGGTCAGGCATAGGTGGGTGAATTTTAGTTCTGCTGACTGCCAGAAATTCCTTCAGAGGAGTTTCTTTACTGGCCTTGTGAAGATCTTGCAGTGCTGGAGCAGTGTCAGTCTCTGTGGAGGTTCCTAGAAAGGCAGATGTGTGGAAAAGGCTGTCTGGTGTAGAGATTAAAGGAAGATGTGTCCCAGTTCTCCCAGCTGTACAGAGAGGTTCTCCCCAGACTTCTGAGACATATGAGGACAATTCCCAGTAAAGCTAAATGAGGAGCTGTCCTCACTGTCACTGTGGATATTGCATTTTTTACTCTTCCTTCTCTATTTTCCATTGGCCACCAGTATTTTTAGGTTGATGGAGTAGTGAAGGAATTATGGTATTTGACAGATTTAGTACCTTCTCCCTGAAAAAACACTCCACAATTGAATCTTGACTTCTTCTTTGGTTGTGGGGCTGGGAAAGAGAATTTTTAATACCTCAGGAGCCATTTCAATCACAGAAAACCTGAGATTGGAGTACCTGCAGAAGAGCTGGAGGTGAAAGCTGCCAAGGAACAGCTTTTTCTTAGCACAGTGTAATTAAACTTGCTTTTTTAGGGAATATATCACCATCCACTAGCATCAAAAGCGAGCTTTCCAAACTCCTCCCTCTGCAGCATCATCAGAGCACTCACACTACAAAGGCACCGGGAGCCTGAAATGTGTTTTTGGAAGTTTCAAGGAGTTGCCCAGTGGGGCCCTGAGGTAGGCTGAGTGCAGAGCATGCTGGCTGTCACTCTGTCCCTCTTGCTCCCATGAACTCAGGTGCCGGCAGTTCGTGGAGATGGTGAACGGCACGGACAGCGAGGTGCGCTGCTTCAGCGCCCGCAGCCCCCGCTCCCAGGACAGCTACCCCGGCTCCCCCAGCCTGAGCCCCAGGCATGGATCCACCAACTCACACCTTCACAGTACTGGTAAGCTGGGGGAATCCAGAGCATCCCTCTGGCTGTCCTTCTGGCGTGCCAGAATCCCTGGCACGGAGCCCAAAACACCTGTGGGTTTGGTTGTGACCTGTGGAGCAAATTACCAACCTTAGATGAAGATCAGCAAGCTGTGACAGTGTTCACAGGGGTCTCAGGATGAGGGAAGAGACGAGGATCTGACTCTGTGTTTCAGAAGGTTTGATTTATTATTTTATGATATATATATATTATATTAAAACTATACTAAAACAATAGAAGAAAGGATTTCATTAGAAGGCTAGCTAAGGATAGAATAGGAAAAGAATGATAACAAAGGCTTGTGGCTCAGACTCTCTGTCCGAGCCAACTGGGCTGTGATTGGCCATTAATTAGAAACAACCAGCACAGATCCACCTGTTGCATTCCACAGCAGCAGATAACCATTGTTTACATTTTGTTTCTGAGGCCTCTCAGCTTCTCAGGAGGAAAAAATCCTAAGGAAAGGATTTTTCATAAAAGATGTCTGTGACAGCAAGCCACAGCAGTTTAGGTAGAATAATAGTGAAGTTATCACAGGATGGAAAAGTAGATTTTGGAGTTTTTGGTATGGGGGTTCAGGAGGCAAGATGGAGGGAACTGGGTGTGTCCAGCCTTTCTCCTTCTCCTTGGCCTCCATCTTCTGCTGTGATGGTGGCACTTGCAGATTGGTTTAGAGTAGAAGCTCACTGTCTAACATAGGTGATAGGTATTGGGAAGTAATTGTAAACATTGTATACACAGTTTTTAGTATAAAGACATAACACTGCCCAGGGGCAGGCAGAGTGCCTGGTCTGTCCTGCTGGATGGACCTCGGCAGGGCAGGAGAAAGAATTTTATAGATAAGATACCATAAACAACCTTGAGAAGAGCCCTGACTCCTTCTTCAAGTGCTGGGCTGGGAAAAGAGACCCCAAACTCTTCTCGGGGTCACTCTGAGCAGCTAGAGACCCCAACAGAAAGTGGGTCCTGTGTCTCCACATGAGGAGAGCAGATGTCAAAGGTGGATGTTTCTTCTCTAAACCCCATTGAATTTAAGAATGATAAACCATAATTTAAGATCTGCAGTCTTATTTTGCTTTCTTCCTTTGGGGCCACAACAGAAGTGACATTTTCAGTCTGGTCTCATTTTTCTTTCTTCTTGGCTTTCAGGAGCAGATAGTCCAACCTGTAGCAATGGAGTCATGTCCACAAAAAGCAAACAGAGTCACAGTAAATACCCAACACTGAGTTCATCATCTTCATCTTCCTCCTCCTCTTCCCCTTCATCTGTGAACTACTCGGAGTCCAATTCCACAGATTCTACCAAATCTCAGCAGCACAGTAGTACGAGTAACCAAGAAACCAGGTATTGTTTTTCCTCTGGAGACACCTGATGGGGGGTGGCATGGTGAGGAAAGCCTCAGTCTGCTTTCTGAGGAGCCAGAAGGGATCTGTCCTGCCCTTTTGAACAGCATTGTTATCTACAACATCTGCCCAGCACACACAAACCTGTTCTGGCTCACACTTGGAGGTTCATCTCATAAGGAATATTATGATGCTCTTGTTTCAGGCACCAGGCTGTCCCATTACACTGATGCCTTTGCATCCCAGTGTTTGCCCAGAAGCTTTCCCAGTCAGCCTGGTGATGTTTCTGCTGCCTCAGCCAGGCACTTGTTCCTGCTGAGCAGCTTTCCTGCCCTGTCCTGTGTGAGGCAGCAGCTCAGGCCACAGTGGCTTGGTGCATTGGCCTCCTGTGTCATTTCCTTGGGCTGCCTGTTGCCCTGTTCCTCCCAGGTGAGCCAGCAGTGATTTGTTTCATGCTGTGGCAGCAGGTCAGACTGAGCCTCCCTTCTCCAAGAAGCCACAGGTGATCCAGCATTCAGTGCAGTCACTGCTGCCTTTTCTGGAGTGTGGAGCAGAGTGAGCTCTGCTGAAAACTGAGCTTTCTTTGGGCTCACTCTCCACACTGCTGTTGCAGGGCTGTGTGAGGCCTCAGTGGAGCAGAGGGTGTAATTGTGATTAAAAGAATCTCTTGCTAATTACAGCTGGCACTCATTCTTCAAGTGCTGTACTGAGCACTTGCAGGGCAGTTTGCAGGCTCAGTTGTGACCTCTGGAGAGCCACCTAGCATGTAACTGAGTGAGAAACACTTGTTCAGACTCAATTTATCAGAATCATTTAATGATGCTGGATTTGTCATTCTTTTTTTTTCAAATGTAGAGCCCATGTTCCAGTAAGATCTTCTCATAATTTCAGTTAATCAGTAGTTAATCAGCAGTCTCAGTCAGCCTGCTGTCTTGGGCATTTAAGTGCTCAGTGTTTGCAAGGACTGGGGATGTATCACAGCCAAGATTTCCCTCCTGCAGTCTCTGAGTGTGTTATCTGTTACCTGGCTGCTGTTTACTATCCCAAGGATCACCACTTCCTGAAGGGAAAATGCAAAATGTTCTGCACCTGGAATTATGACAGGCACTTAGGGAACAGAAACCTGTTTCATAAATTGTCTTCAGAAGCCTGCAACAACTTTTGCTGCACTGATTTGGACCATGTGGCTCCCTGCAGTCCAACTGGACCTTTTCTGGTGTGCTGGCCTTTGCTGGGCACTGTTTGGCATATAAACTCTTCATTTCTTCCCTTTCTAATTTAGAAATTAAAATGTAATTTTAATTTCTTCCCTCCTTTCACCTCAGTGACAGCGAAATGGAAATGGAGGCTGAGCATTACCCCAACGGAGTCCTGGAGAATTCATCCACCAGGATAATGAATGGCACCTACAAACATGAGGAGATCCTGCAGACAGATGAGTCCAGCATGGGTAGGTCCTCAGGGGCAGGAGGGGTAAAGGGAGATAGGAGCTGGTCTCAGGAGTTAAAACTGTGGTTGGATTGTGGGGAAATATCCTGTACTTTGGGCTGCTTCATGGGGAAAGTTAATCTGTCCTGGAGCTAAAACTAGGTCTGGCTTTTCATAGACTCCCAGCAGTGCTGGTGGGAGCAGGGAGAACAATAGGAGGCAGAGGTTTGTTCCATGCTGGTCATGGAATTGAGCTCAGAGCAGTCCTGGCAGAAGTGCCTGTGGGCAGCTGAGCTGAGCTGTGCCAGGCTGGGCATGTCCAGCTGCAGGGTGGCCTCAGCACAGCTGGCAGCCGTGACTGTCTTGTTTGTGGGTACTTTAGCCAGGAGGGGGCAGATGAAGCAGCTACACTGCCTCTGAAACTGGTTCATCCAGTTCTAAAGGCTCTTGTGGCCACTGATACTGGGCAGCTGGTGGTGTTGGCCTCTCTGAGTCCAGGATTTGTTAGACCAGGCTTTCTGGGTAATATACCCTGTGTTAAACACATGAAAGGGTAACAGATTGCTTACAGGTAAGCTCCCAGGATTTTATCAATGAGCTTGATTTCTAGGTAGTTCTCAGGCATTAAACAGAGCTCAGATCTTCCCTGTATCTACCAGGCACTGTGACAAACCCAGCAATGGCTGTTGTAGGGCAGGGATCACAGAAAGCTTCCACTGGGATAATCTTAGGGCAGGAAGCAGCTGCCTGCTGCAGAAGGGAGTTTGTGGGTATCCTGACACACAGTGGGCATTGGTGGGGAATGCAAGATGATTTTTCCTTCCCCTCTGCTTCTCCTTAGAAGACAGCTGCCCCCAGAGGCAGCTCTGTGGAGGGAACCACGCTGCCACAGAGAGAATGATCCAGTTCGGGCGGGAGCTGCAGATCCTGAGTGAGCAGCTTTGCAGAGAGTATGGGAAGAACACCATGCACAAAAAGATGCTTCAGGTAAGCCTGGACCTTGTGCTGCATTGCAGCAGCTCTCTGGGCCAGCTCTGGGGTTGTGGGTTCCCTTGAGTAGCCCCCACTTCTGCGCCTGCTGAGCAAGAAGGGACCTACATGGGAATCAGAGATCAAAATATGAATGTAGAGCATCTATACCCAATTCTCAGCACAAGGGAGAATAAATACAGCTCTTGCCTGGCTTCCTGGAGCAACTGCTTGCTCTTCTCTCCACCTGCCTTCCCATGCTGGCTCCCGTGCCAGGTGGAATGGGCACCCTCTGTAACCTCCTGTCTTGGTGGCCACTGTGGTCCCTTGCTGCCAAGAGGAAAAGGCCATTCCTTTTCAGGAGGTGGGCACCTCTCACTGTGGTGATAGCAGGAGGTTCCCCAGCTGGACTTGGTGGTTTTCCTGTGTGTTTGCAGCCCTCCTGATCTCACTGTGCCTTTCTGTTCCCTGCCAGGATGCCTTTAGCTTGTTAGCTTACTCAGACCCTTGGAACTGCCCTGTTGGCCAACAGCTGGACCCCATCCAGAGGGAACCTGTGTGTGCTGCTCTCAATAGTGCTATTTTGGGTAAGAGCTGCTTCCTGTGGGAGTGTTTCCCCAGACACACCTGCTCTCAGGGGCTGTCCTGTGGCAGGCAAGCCTGTCAGAAATATTTGTGTTTAGCTTTGGCCTTTGTTTCTGTTTCTGGGGATTGTCAGGGCAGTAGTGCAGGAAGGGGAGTAGGAGAGAAGCCTGCAGAGAGCAGATTCCTGATACACTTCCATTTTGACTCCCTTCCCTGCATGTTCCTCAATGCTGCTCCCAAGGATGCACCTCAGGATTTTCCTCCCCTGCTTACTGAAGAAACTGAGATCTCTTTGGTGCATTTCCCACCCTTCTCCCTTCATGCTCTGAACCCACCTGAACCATTTTGTGGACTTTACCAGGGCTCTTTTCCAGCTGTATGGGTTAGCAGAGTTCAGCCCTGGTATGACCCTATTTTCTAGGAGGGGCTGCAGTTGCATCCTGTGCACAGTCTGGCTCCCTGTGCCCAGGCAGATTTCCTATGGGGTCTGTGCATCTCACACTGAATGTTCCAGAAGGAGATTTAGATATTTTCTTCTGGGGAAAGGAACAACTTGATGGACATGCCCATGAGGGTTCATGTTCTGACTGAGCAGAGGAACAGGAATTGCATGTTTTGGAAGGGAGAGTCTCTTCCCCTGTCAGTCAGCAGCTGTTTGAGGAGCATGGACAAGTTGTCACCAGGAAGATGTGGTGTCTGGACATGCTGCATCACACAGGTTACCAGGCACCTTGTCTAGCTCAGCTGAAGGTTCCCTCAGAAAACATGCCACTTTAAAGACATGGTGATGAGGGAGTGAGCTCATCCAGGGCCTGGGCTGCTGTGCAGCCTTGCACAAGTGGGAGAAATGGAGAGGTTGCCTCCAGCTGGGATCGGATTCTCCTGCCTTTCCTTATTCCTCCATGCTTTGATACTTCATGTTCTAAGGGTTTTCTGGCAAACAGCATCAGCAGTAGCTTCGTTGCCTTTTTGTTGCTCTGGCCAGCACAGCAGCACTCTGTCAAAGGCCCTGCTGAGCTGTGGGATGTGTCATGGCTGCTGGGCTGTGTGTGCAGCAGCAGCAGCAGCACGGAGCTGGCAGTATTTGGGAGCAGCTTCCTGAGTGCAGGTGAGCCAGCACCAGCCTGACCCTCTTCTGAGCAGCTTTTTCTTTGTGCCCACAGAATCTCAGAACCTGCCAAAGCAGCCCCCGCTGATGCTGGCCCTGGGCCAGGCCTCGGAGTGCCTGCGGCTGATGGCGCGCGTGGGGCTGGGCTCCTGCTCCTTCGCCAGAGTGGACGATTATTTGCACTGACAGGAGCTGCCGTGGAGTGCTGCCCTTCACCCTCTGCTGCTGCCACTCTGCACCACCGCCTCCTCCCTGCCACAAGCCCCTGTAGCACACACACACACACACACACTGCCCGTGCCAGGACGGAGTGAGTCCCTCACTGTGTGGCTGTTGTGACCCCGGGGAGCCTGGCGGGGCTGAGCCATCTCCCTGCGCTCAGTATTTCGCTGGTTATTCTAATGTAGCACCTTCTGATGTAGGGATTTTTTTCTCTTTTTTGTTTTTGATTTGAGTTGTTTCTCATGGTTCCACCGATGTTTTATCTGGAGAGTTTTGCTGAGCTGGTTTATGCTGATTTACTGAGGAAGTTCATCAAGTTGGTGACAGCTTGTTCTTTTCTTCCCTTCTCCCTCCATCGTGCACATACAGCATCATCCATGCTAGTAATCAGAACTCTTCTCACAGTGGCAGTTCAGAGGGAATTTTTTTTTTATTTTATTTGAATCATGTTTATTAAAAAGGTCTCTTCCACCTCCACAAGGTCATTGATGTATTTATTGCCCACAGACTCGGTCCCAGCCACACTCACCATACAGCCCCTCAGGTGAGGTAGGTCCTGTCACACACTAATGATGAAACCTGGTCCTTCATGGTGCCTCTTTTCAGAGCCCAAGGCTCTCAATCTTGGCTTTGTGAGTGGGAAGAGTAGAAGATTAACATTGCCTGTGTTGGTGATTGTGCTGTAGAAGCATCTCACAGCCCTAAGAAGGAGTTAAATCCAGCTCTCTGAACAGCTGGAGGGACAGGGATGATGAATATGAAGTCATCTGCCACTGTGTGGTAGAACCAGGTCATGTGAGTCCACCAGAAACATCCGTGGGCATGCCCTGGTGTGTTGACACTTTTTAATTAAATAACAAATCCCACATTTTTCTCTATGGAGGAGGGCTCTGCCACTAACTCAGTAATAACAGTATTTCCTGCCCTCTGCCATCTCTGTAACACTGATCTAAATGAGCACTTCTAAATTTTGGAAGTGTCTGGAGAAACCTTGCCTAGCTGTGCTTGTCCTTGCAGGTGGGACAAGCTGAGGTCAGGTGGCAGGTTGGGGTCAGTACCAACTCTGTGGGGCCTGAGCCATTCAGAAAGGAGCAGCAGTGTTTGTTTAGGGATTATTAAGATAATTATTGAAGTTCCAGTCCCAAAAGAGACCAGCAAAGATCTGTGGGTGAGTAACCTCTGAGTAAAATGGACTGATGTGTCCATGCTGTGTGCCAGGCCCATGGACTTGAGTGCTGATAAGCATTCAGACCACCTGGGAGTGTTTCTGAGCTTCTGTTACCTGGCCAGGCTGCCTGGCAGCACCGTGTGCTTTCCATCCTCTGCTGTACCATTAGGACATGGCAGGTTCAGCTGGCAGTTTCTGCACCAAATTAATTTTAGGTCAATAACTCTGGGGAGGACTCAAGGGAGCTCAAACCAAACATGAATTTTACTGCTGTTCATGAATTTTTTGGAAGGTCAATGAAAGATGAACAGGTTTTGTTCTTAAAATGGAGGTTAGCCTGTGCCAGGGCTTCAAGCACCAAGAGGGTTTGTGTGCCACTGAGAGGAAAAGTAGCAGCAGCCCAAAGCTTTAAGGGTTTTCTGGGTTTGCAGGATGGATTTGCAGCTGACACATGAGGTCTGAAATGAAGGCAGAGCAGGGGGCAGGTGCCAGGACAGGCTGTGGCAGTGAATGTGCAGATGGTGCTGGAGGTGGTTGGAACATTATCCCTGCCTTTTGGTGGAGGTGTGCAGTGTGTAGGGGCAGTGAAAAGAAAACAGGAGGCTTAGAGCTGCAGGAGATGCTTTAATCAGATCACTGGGACAGCTGCAAAAAGCAGAGGGAGCTCTGGCACAGCCTTTCTTACAGGGAGAGAGGCAGAGGGCTGCACCAAGCAGAATTTAACCTGCCAGTCTGGGGCTTCTCTTGCAGCTCCTCTCCAGAACAGCTCCTGTGCCTGACAGCTCATCTGTTCACTGCCAGCTCTGCTGTTGGGTCTCAGCCCAGCCTTGCTGCAGCTGCGGAGATAACTCAGTGCAAAGGTTTCCTTCCCCAAGCCTCAGGTCCCAGATGTGCCAGAGCTCTGCCTGGTGGGATTCTCCTGCTGGCTTTCCGTTCCTCAGGCTCACAGCACCCTGCTGGGCTCATTCTGGGTGCTGAGCTACTCCAGGACCTTGCTTTGCCTTCCCCTTTTAGCAGCTTCCTCTGCTCTTGGTCACCACTTGCAGCAGTCTGGCTGCAGTCAGACCTCTCATCTTCATAGCAGCACCATCTTTATCTTTCTGAGGGTTTTTGTTCCTTCTCTTTGTGGTTTCTTTAAGCCAAGTCTCTTCATCATGTGTCATATTAATGCCCCATTTGGTCTCTCAGCAAAGCTTTGCTGACTGTCCTGGAGCACCTTTTTAAATTTTGGTTTCACTACCAAAACCAAAAAAACAACCAAGAGATATTCCTAGATATCTGGTTATTTTGGTGCCAAGAAATGTGTGATGGATGTTACTTGGTTTTTTTTTAATTTACTTCAAGTGTTCTGGTGGTTTCACCGGTGGTTTCTGCTTCTTGTACTCAGATTCTGACTGATGTGGCCATGACTCAGTGTGGGGAGGATAAGCATGTTTGTGGTGGGATGTAGGTCCCAACCTACCCCTGATTCCTAGATGGGATTTCTCATGTGGTTTTCTCAGGTTGCATTTCAAAGCCTCTTGCCTTTGAATCTCCCCGGCTGCTCTTTGGTGGTTCATGTTGGCTTAAACTTGGATTATTGCAGTAGTTTTTAAGAACAGAACTAAAGTGAAATGGGGTCTGTAACACTGAATGTGGCTGTAAACCTAACCAGAGGCTACATGGCAATTCAAAAGTTACTTTTATAAAAATGATTTGGGTTTTTTTTCTTCCAAGTGCCTCAAACAACCTGGTCCCTGCTCCCAGCAGTCCTTCAGTACAGCCATGTTTTACTGTGGAGCCTGTAGGAAACTGCTGGTATCATTCCTCATGGTTATCTACACCTGGGATCTTCCCATATCCTTCCTTCTCTTTTTCACAGTGACATCTCAATCTCTCCTCAAGCTGTGTCCTCGTTTTTCACATTTTATTAAGGCATCTTTACCATTCTTTAAATAGCTTTGTTCTTGAGGCTGCCTTGAAAAACTGGAGCAACCAGAGCTGCTGGAGGTAGTTCTGTAGGGATTGAATGTATCATTTTCCACCTTGGGTAGCAGGGATGATGAACATCTCCTCCTTCAGCAAGGAAACCAGGCTGGGTTGCAGCTGTGCTTTGGTACCTGTCTGTGTTAACAGGTGACCTGTGTGTCACACACATTTCAGAGTTCTGCTGTCCTGGCTTGATGGAGAAGGTGGCCTGTGGCAGCCAGGCTGCAGAGCAGTGTGTAAGTGCCATGAAGCTGTGTGGTGCACCACGTGGGATCAGAAGTTCTGCCCTTAAGCAGCAGTGCAGACCTGGACTGTCCTGTGGCAGAGACAGGGGTCCCTCACTCCAGTCTGGGTGCAGTGATGCCCCATGGAGCTGGTGACAGCTGGGAGAAGGAGCAGGAGCTCCTGCTCCACCCAGGAGTGCCCTTTGCAGAGCAGCATCTTCCTTCAGCCCTGCCAGGGTGAGAGCAGCCTCAGTGGTAGGGCAGGAGAGGGCAGGTGGGGAGCAAGTGTTGGGTCTCCAGCTGTACCGAGGTGTCTCTGTGTGGGGACGTGGCAGGGGACCTGCTGGGTGCTGCTGGGACCCTTCAGATCCAGAGCTGGCTGTGAGCCTTGTCCCATCTGCTGTGTAGGGGCAGAGCTGGAGGAAGGGCTGCTGGGGCTGTGTGAGGGGAGCTACAGCAGATTTGGGAGGAAAAGGGAGGAGTTGAGAGCCTGGAGGTCTCTTCCATAGACAGCACTAGCTGCTCTCCACCATCCTTCCCTGCAACAAGAGGTGGCAGGTGATGGATGAGTGAACCTGGCATGTCTGTCCCTCTCCCCACATCCCAAACCAAAGCTCAGAGCCTGCAGCTTGAGCTGGAGCAGTGCCCAGCAAGCCAGGGCATCACCCAGGCTTGAGGAGCACACACACGTCCTGCCAGCTCCTTATTTCCAGGAGGAAAGCTTAACTCACAAGTCCTGTGTGGAATTTACACTCACATCACCACAGAAACATTCCTGGAGGCCATGCACACCTCTGCTCCTTGCTGAAGGTCCCATGGCCAGGCAGACACCTTTTCTCTGGTCACTCCACTTGGGTCCAGGCGAGTGCTTGGATGTTTTTGCTCGGGAGGACTTCAGCCACATCCTTCCTCCAGAAGGGAGCACAGAGGGATTTTTGTATGCTGGGCTTCTCAGAGGCTTACACTTGGAGAAAGGAGAAGCAGCAGAAGCAGCAGCTCTGGGGATAATCCAGATTTTAAAGAAAATTTGAAAACCACAAGTATGGTGACTTCCAGCCCAAGGACTGCACCGGCGCTGGATTGGGATCGTGTCTCTGTCCTGCCTGTGCAGTGGGGGAGGCAGGAGGAGGCTGCAGCCCCTGAAGCTCTCACACACAGCAGTGCAAGCCCCAGGACCTGCCCAGCACGCAGTGAACTCTCCTCTCCTCTCCTGCTGGTTGCTCAAAACTCAGGTATGAAATGCTCAGCTGGAGCACGGGGTGCGAGCTCTCCGCAGGTTTCCCGGCAGCCCTGGAGGAGCAGCCACGGCTGGGCACAGCTCCCTGTGCCACCCCAGGCTTCTCCAGGCCCTTGGGAGGGAGTTTCACCTCTTGGGTACAACATTGGCTACGTGGACATTACACAAACTGTGCACATTGGTTCAGTCTACGCTTAGTATTTGTGAATTAAGTTATCTGATGTTTCGCATGAAAACTTCAAAAAAGGGGCTGGGGGGGGGTGGATTTTAACTGAGAAAAAGCCTATGAAAATATACTGGAAATATGGTAAAGAAATCGACATTCTGCTGTATATTGACAGAATTATTTTTATTAAAATACACATCCATGTGCAAGAGCCAGTGTGGAGCTGTGTGCTTTGTCAGTCTCTGCTCATCAGGGAAGGCTGTGTCCCCTCTGACAGGGGGTGCACAGTCCTCCAGGTGTTTGTCCCCCAGGATCTGATTCTGTTTCAGCTTTGCTGCCTCCCATGTGCTTGCAGTTCATGGGCAAAAATGTCATTAGGGATCCTGTGTCATTAGTTTTTCCTGTGCCATTCCATATCCTAGAAAATACAGCCCTGAAGTGTTTTCTGGCCATGAGCATAAAACACTGATGAAGCTTTAGGCTGAGGATCATTTGCCCCATTCCTTGCTTTCTTCTTTGAGGTTTTCCCTTGTATGTTTGCAGCTCTGCCATGAGAAGATGGGCCAGCAGCCTGGTTTTAATGTCTGGGATCTCACAGTGCTCCCACCCTTCCCTGGCCCTGCGGAGGGACAGGCAGCCAGGACACCTCTGTCCACCCTCAGGCTGCTGTCCTCACCCTCCTGGCACTGTGGGCATTCTCCTTATCTCCCTCAGACACTTTGAGTGACCAGCAGCACATTTGGAAGCTGTCAAGGTATTAAGGGTTTGGTAGAGCAGTATCTTCTCCCAGAACCCTCCCCTTAATTCTGGAGCACCTGCAAAGCCCAAGGGGCTGCAAGCATGCCCTGAGGATGTACAGCTTTGCCTGGGGGTGAGGTAACCTCACCTATGGGTCAAGGCCTGGCTCCCCTGTGACATTCCCAGTGATGCACTCTGTGACCAGGCACAGTTTGCTCCTGGAGAAATAGGAACTTGTGGCAGAGGATTTTTTCTGGGTTTGTTAGGATCTGCTGATTGGTTTGGAGAATCAGGAGAAGTCCAAACAGCATTTTGTAGCAAAGAGTCTTTATTATAAATATTGGTTCCACAGGCACATCGTGGCAGGGCAGTGGCAACGGCACGGTGACACCTGCTCCTGGTGGCCCCTCCTGCAGGGACCCCATGGCCGCAGCACCCGCTGGAGAAGAGCTTTCAGCACTGATGGCTCCCTCAAGAGACGGGAAGACTGAATGGGATGGGCAGGTCAGATGGTGGATGGGTCTGATGTTTTGTTTTGAAGCCGTTTTATGATTTTTTTCACCCAGTCCTTCTTGGGGTCGGCGCAGATCTCGTCACCATTGGCAGCCACAATCCTGCAATGAGGAAGTGAGGAAAAAGAGTGAAAACAGGAACCATGAGCCATTCCCTTTCTGTGCACTGTTTTCTCCTCTCCCTTTTTGCAGTCCCTTCCAGGATCAAGGCTTGTAGCCATCTCCAGCAGCCTGTGCCCTCCTTGGGCAGGTGAGTGTCTGTCTTCCCAGAGCTCTAGCATTACCAGACAGCACTAAAACACATTTTTTCCCCTCTTTGCCCACCCCTCAGAGCTGCTTTCCTACCACAGCCCCCCTGGCTGGGACTGGGATGAGATGGGATGGGATGGGATGGGATGGGATGGGATGGAATGGAATGGAATGGAATGGAATGGGGCAGCAAAAAGTCTGGGATCGGGAGCAAAGCCTGGGATACTCACACAACTGCAGGCTTGGGGCAGTCCTTGGATGTCTCGTAGAAGCCCTGAGGGTGTCGGATTCGTTTCTGTGCATATTGAAAGCAGCATTCCACAGGTGCAAAGTGGGCTGGGGAGGGAAGGGGGATGTTGTGAATTACATCATCATATAATGGCACCACCAGGTTTGGAACAGCACAGAGGCTGTGGAGCCCCTCAGCAGCTCCCATAGCATCCCATGGCAGGGGTTTGTCACCCTTCACACAGCAAGCTCAGGACTGGGACATGGACAGAGGTGGAGCAGGGGACAGCCTGGGACCTGGCCCCTCACAGCCCAAATTGCTGCAGCCCCCAAGAGCACACAGTAATGTTGGGGTGCTCAGCCTGGGGATGAGGTTTTGGGGCTTTCCAAGGCAGGAGCACAACTTGCAGGGTGTTTTGGAAGGCTCCAAAGAGCTGCATGTTCTCCCTCCATCCAACCCCTTGCTCATCCAGGGGAACAACTGGCAGAGCCTCCTCCATGCTCCTGCAACCTCTCCCCAGGTCTGGCTTTGCTGAGAGCACCCAGCACTTTCTCCATCCCTCCCTGCATCCCGGGATGTGCTGCCCTGCCCTGAGCAGGGCATGCTGCTCCCATCAGCAGCACCAGCCCTGCTCCCTGCTGGGGTTCCTGCCTCACCTCCCCAGTGGGGGCTCAGAGCCCTCACCTGCAGCAGGGGCCCCTGAGGTTCCTTACCTGTGGCGTGGTGCAGGGAGAAGGTGAGCAGCAGGGTGAGCAGCAGGACAGTCCTTGCAGGCAGCATGGTGGCTGTGGGGTGGCTCTTCCTCGTGCCCTGTGCCTCTCTGCCCTCTGGCTGTGGCTCCGTCCTCGCTGCCTTTTATCCTCTTCTGCCACCCACTCAGGCTGCATTTCCAAAAACTCAGGGTCCTACCAAGAAACCAGGGTCAAGGGGCTTTCTGCTGTTTATTTTTGGGCACATCCAGCGGCGGATAGACAACTTGAAGGAGAAGTTCTACTTTCGATGGAAGAGTCGTGACGTGGAGCTCTAGGAACTGAAAGCAGATTGAACCATCTTCCCATGCAGGCAGGACAGCAAGTCCAGAGCTCATCTGCTTGTTTCCAACAGGAGAGGCAACCCACAGTCCCTGAGCAGGGACAGGTCTCAGGGGGTTTGATTGGTTTGCCCAGTGCCAAAGGCCAGTGATGGAATCCCATCCAAACCAACCTTGGGCACACAGGGAGCCCTGGGCTGGGCAGGAAAGCACAATGGGATGGGATGGGATGGGATGGGATGGGATGGGATGGGATGGGATGGGATGGGATGTCAGGCAGAAGAAGCCATACTGGACCAATCCAGAAGGGACTCCAGAGCAGGGGGTGTCAGAGGTGCTTTTGGTGGGTTCACAGAAGGGGAAGAAATGGGGCAGGGGCAGTGGGGAGTGTGAGGAGAGTCTGGGTCTGAGCAGAAGCCTGAGCCCCTGTGCTGCCTGTGCCTCTCTCAGCAGCCCTGGGACTGAAATGAGAGTTGGGGGATGGAGGCTTGTGGTGCACAGAGATCTCCTGCAGCAGAGGGGACAGATCCCAGCACAGCCCCAGGAGACAGGACAGAGCCACCCCAGAGGCCAGGCAGGAGGGGCAGGTGGCCCAGATCCCATTGGCAGCCCCATGGAGCACTGCTGGACACCAGCCCAGCCTCCATGCAGGGATCTGCTCCCTGGGCCGGAGATGCAGCTCTGTGTGAGGAGGTGAGGTCCTGGTGGGAGCCAGCATAGGATGATGCTGGGTGGGAGCACAGGGGGGGACCTGGCTGTGGCTTGGGGGATCAGGCAATCAATCCAAGGCTTCTCAGAGGGGAAGAAAGGTGGAAATGGGTTTCTCTGGAAATGATGTCATGTCTGCACGACTTCTCTGAAAGGAGAAAGGAGAAGGAAACAGATCTAATGTGGTGGAAAAGCTGGTTTACAAGAAATGGGCTGCAGGACATGGGGTCTGCTGGCCTTGCATGGGGCAGGGGGCCACACAGAGAGCTGGGCACAGCCCCACGGGGTTCTGGTGCCACTGTCCCCAGGCAGGGCTCTGCAGGGAGAAAATGCCTGGCACACAGCAGCCCGAGCCCCTTCTGTGGGCTGTGCATCACCCCCAGGCTCTCCTGCCCTCCCTGCCCCTGTCCCCAGTGCTCAGAGCCTTGGGGCCAGCAGCCCCAGGCTCACACCAGCTCCCAGGCACTGGTGAAAAGCACAGGACTGTAATTAAGGGAGAACTGAGCTAATGACTTTTTCCATCCAGCATTCCCTGGCTCAGAAAACCTCATGTGCCAGCCCTGAGCTCCTTTTCCAGGCTTGTCTGAGGCACACAGGTGCTCCTCCTTTCCCTATTTATTCCTCTCCAGAGGAAGCATCAGTAGATGCCTCCACTATGTCTTTCATGGAGAAAATCAGTGCATGTTGGATGTTTGAAGGCCTGGAAAGGCCCCACAAGGCTCTGGAGGACTGGGCTTCCCTCCCTGCCCCAGCAATGGACCTTTGGGTCTGGCTTCAGTCCTCTCCAGGCTCCTCTGCAGCTCCTGGGGTGTTCCCAGCACCCTCTGAGCCATGCCCAGCAGTGGCACAGCCTCTGCCCAGGTGCAAATGCAAAGGCAAGTGGAGAGAAGAGGGGGTACAGACTCTGCAGAGGATTTTATGGGTGTCCAACCTCACTGTAGTTAATAACTTAATACAAATTTTCTGACTGAGCAAAACCCCTGCTTTAGAAATTGAAATGGATAGGCATGGACCAAAAAAAAAAAAAAAAAAAAAAAAAGGAAGCATCATCATAAAGGTGGGAAATATTCTCTGACTCATAAAATGCCTTTTTGAGTGGATAATCACAAAAGTTAATACTTTACAGAGAGCATGAACTCTTTGCCGGTGATAAATGCCGGTGTCCCCGCCCAGAGCCCCGGGGTCTGTTCTGCATCCGAGCCCCTGTCAGGAGAGGGCACCAAGCCCCAGCAAACAGAGACTCCGTGGCTGAGGATTCCTGCAGTGGAAAGGCAGCAGTTCAAGCAGTTCAAGAGGCTTCCCCAGGCTGGAGCCTCTCCTGGTGCACCCAGAGTTCTCCACCCCAGGTTCCAGACCTGCAGCCTGTCAGGGTCACCCCTCAGCTCTGCTGGGAAAACATCCCTGGAGCTGCTGCTGCTGCCAAAATCCCCTTCCCCAGGAGCTGGGAGTGCCTGAGCATCATCTGGGCCAGTGCAAGTGATGGTTTCTTTATCACTTGGTGGAATTTTTTGGGTAGGTTTCTTTTTTTGCTTGGTTCTCCTTTTGTTTTCCCCCGTAGTGAACTGTTACAGGGAAAGGAGGAGGAAGTAGGGGGACATTCAGATTTGCAGAATTTGTCTTCCCAGGTCACTGTTACACGTGAGGGAGCCCTGCTGTCTCCCCATGGCCGAGCACTTTCCCACCCATGAGAAGGAGAGAACTAATCCCTTATTTTGCTTGGCTTGTGGGCCAGTTCTGCTTCATTTGTTAAACTGTCTTTAACTCATGACTTTCCTCACTCCTGCCCTTCCAGTTCTGCTCCTCTTCCCACAGCCCCGGCAGGGATCAGTGCTGAGCTCTGCATGGCCCCTGGCAGGGGGATATTGCAGGAATCCCTCGTGTGATTCAGCCTCCCCTGTCTGTCCCTCGTGCCCAGGGAGCTCTGCAGGGAATCCCTTCCTCTGCAGCCCAGCAGAGACACCCCAGGCCTGGGCACACAGGGCAGACAGGCTGTGCCCTCCACAGGACAGCAAATGGGACAGGCTGAAACCCCTCAGCCTGAAACTGGTGGCAGTTTGGCACCTGAAAACCCTCAGAGAGGTCTCCAGCCCCTTTAGGGTCCCCTTGAAATCCCATCCATCCCCTCCCTTCCTGCCCTGAGACCCAGTGGGAAGAGCCAGCCCCAGCTGCTGGCAGCTGCACAGTTGTGGGGCTGGAAGAAGAAAGGACAAACACAAACAAACTCTTCAATATCACGTGAAATAAACTTTATTTTGTGGCTGTGAGCAGCAGGCAGGTGCAGGCTGGGCCAGCAGCATTCCAGGAGCTGGTGCCCAGCTGTGGGTGCAGCTCAGGGCTCTGGTGCCCTCTCCCAGGAGCTGAACATCCTGAACCCCTTCTGAGAGGGGATGCAAACCTTCCTTCCCAGCAGATGTTGGGGAGCCTGAACCAGGGCACCCAATCCACATCACGGAGCACGAACTTTCTTCTTTTGAAGCACTTTAACTGCTCTCTTCACCCACTTCTCCTCAGGGTTTGCACAGACCTTGATTCCTTTCTTGGTCTCAAACCTGCCAAGGTTAAAGGTGAAGCTTTGTGAGGAATGACATTTGTGATTCCACTTGTGCCCATGCCATTCTCCCTTCCCTGCACCCTTTCTCCTTTCCCTTTGTCCCTGTGCCTGCCCCTGGGCTCTTGGTGTCCTACAAGCAGCTCACCCTGCAGCCCAGCACCTCTGGAGCCCCTGCAGAGCCCTCAGGAGCTGCAGTGGCCTTGCAGAAGTGCCCAGACAGTCACACCTCTCCTCCTCATGGTGCTTACACAGACCTGTCCCTGTCCTGTCCCCACCCAGAACAGATGACCCTGTGGCAGCCCAGGAGGCAGCACAGCAGCAGGGAAGCTGCCAGGACTTACACAATTGCTGGGAAATAACATTCCCTGGTAGTGGAGTTGAAGTCCAGGAGGATCTCCAGCCGCAGGACGCCCTTGACATAGTCGAAGCAGCACTCAGCTGGGGTGTAGGGGGCTGCAGAAAACAAAGAGCACAGTGAGGCTGGAGTGAGGCAGCCCTGCCCTCAGCACCTTCTCCAGCACAGGCCTGATGGACACAACATCCCCAGGCTCTGCAAATGCTGCCATGAGGAGCCCCAGGTGCCCTCCCGGGGCAGGAGGATGCTCCAGGTGATCCCCCAGCCCTGCAGCAGCTCTGCCAAAGCCACCCAGCCCCAGGAGCAGCCTCCATCCCTCCCTGCACCCCAGCAGGTGCTGCTCTGCTCTGGCCAGGACAGCGGTGACCCACCAGGGGCTTTACCTGCATGGGAGCACGGTGAGAGCGTGAGGAGCCCAGCGAGCAGCAGGACTGTCCTTGCAGTGAGCATGGTGGCTCTGGCAGGGCTCTTCCTTGCAGGATGCTGCTCTGCCTGCTTGGGAGAGCTCAACTCTGAGCTCAGGCAAGGAGCTGCTGCAATTTATCCTCTCTACTCCTCCCCTTTTCCAAGTTCTCTTTTTTCCATAGACTTCAACCCAATTCAAGGAAAAGCTGCAGCTTCTTTGCCCCTGGGGATTTCCATGTCTCATGGGGTCATTGGGATTGCAGACAGACAATACCTGGGAAAGCTGAATAGATTGTGTCAGCTTCTGTGTTCACCCACACAGGGAAAGTCACGAGGGAAGTGAAATCCTCCTCTGCAGATGTACACTCAAGAGTTCCTGGGCCTTCAGAGAGGGGATTCATAGCCATGGGAAATGCAAAGCTTGGTGTTCCATGCAAGGTCACTCAGGCCAGAGCCAACACAAATGTGCTGGAGATGCCTGGATGGCTTGTGAATCCTGGAAAGCATTAAACAGAGCACAGTGACTGCTGCCACCAGCCCTCTGTGCCCTGAAAGGGACGAGTTGGTAAATACTGGCAGAAATTGTGTCACATTCCATGTTGGTACTATGGAGAAGAACCTGAATTTTCCACCAAAATTCACTGTTCATAACTGGGCAGTGAGGGAGAGGAGAGGAGAGGAGAGGAGAGGAGAGGAGAGGAGAGGAGAGGAGAGGAAAAAGAGAAGAGAAGAGAAGAGAAGAGAAGAGAAGAGAAGAGAAGAGAAGAGAAGAGAAGAGAAGAGAAGAGAAGAGAAGAGAAGAGAAGGTGTAGCTGAGCCTTTCCTTGTGGACAGGGCTGGCTTAGCCCCAGCTTCAGGGCAGGCAGGAGTCAGCACCAGGCTGAGGGGAATGGATGGAACACTCACTGTTCAAAGGTTCTGGGTGTGTTTCCATCATCTTCCTCCCTCCACAGCCTTGAGGCATCCCAGACCCTGCAGGGAGCTGTGAAAGGGGCCAGCCCCTCTGTGTTAACCTGGGGACAGCTCTCCCCCCTTGTGCTGGGCTCCCCTTTCTTCAGACCCTCTGAAGGTCCAAGGAGCCCCTGTGCAGGTCCTTGCCAGTCATGCTCAGCTCATGCTCAGCTTTTTTCACCTTTCCCTCTGTTTGACCAGACTCCAGGTGGGTGCAGGGAGCAGGGGGTCCCATGCAGATCCCCTGGCATCACAGTCCTCCCTCACTCCCTGTGAACTACCCAAGGGGCCACCTCAAGCCCTTCTTCACAGTGGCACCCCCAGCCACTCTCTGGAGCAGGACATTGTGCCTGGGACTGTCATCCCTGGATGCATTTTGAAATATTTGGGAGAAAAACCACCCAGTGCTGAGAACTGCTCCAGCCATGCTCAGCTTCATCAGACGCATTTCCTGCCAATGGAGGCTCAAGATCCACAGCTCTGCATGGACCTTCAGAAGCTCCTGCAGAGCTGTGTTTCTTTTTCTGGCAGAAGACCTGGCCTAGGATGCTGTGCTTCCCTTTTCTCAGGATTTGAAGCCATGTCTGTGGAAATCAGATGATTCACAACTCCCTGGAGAACTTTTGATGTTTCTTCTTTTCACTTTGGAAAGGGAAAGGCTGGTGTGCAGGCATTCCTTGTTAAGTGTTGGAAAGCCCCTCTGCCAGCCCTACTTTTTCTTTCACTTGAACAGACTCTGAGGAATGTGCTTGTTTGCAAAAAAAATAAACAGAAGATTGTTTTTCTGCAGGAGGAGGGAGGCAGAGGGGACACATCAGATGCAGCCTTTGCCAGTGAGGGGACAGAGGAGTTGGGCAGAGCAGCCCCAAGCTGGGTTTGGGGTCTCAGTGGGTGGTTGAAAACAACCACAGACATCCTGCACTTGGGGAGGCCCTGCAAGAGCAGCTGGGCAAGGCAGGAGCAAGGGGCATCACCCAGGGCCTGAAACTTGTCCCCAAGGAGGCAGTGGGAGGCTTTGGAATACGTTTTCCCTGCTTTCTTCTGTTCTACTCAGTCACTTTGGATTTTCCCATTTACAAGATGAGACATCCTTGTCTGGCTTCTTTAGTCCCTTTCTGCCTGCAAAGCTCCTTCACATTTCTTTGGGATGCTCCCTCCAGGATCTGCATGGGGATGCCCTGATAGACTCAGGACACAATCACAAACCAAATTCTCTTCTTCCTTCCCAAAATCCCTGTGATTCCAGGAACAGCCCTGGCAACTCCTACAGCCTGGAAAGACACTCTAAAATAAGAAAAATAAGAATCTCTTACAAAGTCTGCTTCCTACAGTCGGACACTGGGGAGCACCAAGTGCTGTGAGCTGTTGATCTGAAATCTGCCTGTGCAGGAAGCTCTGCCTGGAGTCACGAGACAGAGGCTGCAGAAAAGCTCTGCGCCTTCCAGGAGCCCTTCCCCAGGCTCTGCCTGCACTAACTCACTGGGCAAGCTCCTCCACAGGCACAGGGACAGAGCAGAAATCCACTGTGGGCATGCAGGAAACCCTCACAAACACAGCCAGGAACAGGCAGGGGTCAATGCACCTGCAGCAGAAACTGGAAGTGGCCTTATCTGGCTAAGGAAGATGAGATAACAGATCTGATGTCAGCTTCCCCAAACACACTAAAAATGAGATATTTTTCCATTTCTATCCAATGAGGTCAATCAACTACCTCAGGGTTAAGTGAAGGGTGTGAGGGAGACTCTGCACTGGAGAGGCTTCTGTGTGGAGTAGCAATCAGGGGAAATGATGCTTAATGAGAACTTCAGCTCCTTTTAGAGCTCCTAGAGTTTAAGCAAGCAGCACAAGATGCTTCAGCTTTTAAAGCAAAGCTGAGATAACAGAAAAAAATAGGGCATGGAAGCAATTCCAGTCTAATTTTTAGTGATTTAATTCTGAACAGAGCTAGCCCTGATAATTTCAAGATGGCACTAGAACAAGTTATGAATTTATCTGCTCCTTAGTGTTTGATTAGAATAAAACCCCAGCAATCAGAAAAATAAATGCAGTTAATGAATGTGATGAGCAGCACACGTTAGGGACCTAGATGTTGTAATGAAAATGTGTTTATGTGGGGTTATGGTCAGAGTCAGCAAGGTGATATCACAGCCCTCCTTGGAGGGTGACCTCACTTATTTCTGTCTTCTTCTCTTTTAAATGATTTGGTTTGTGGCAGAATTCCAGGGTGAATTCTGAAGACTCAAGAAATGAACCTTCCTCCATCACCTGTGACAGTCACCAAAGGGGTCCCAACAACCTCTGTGATACCCAGGGGGACTCCAGCAACACGAGCAGCCCTTGCAGTGACACAGCAGCGACACAATTCCCATAAAAAGAGAGATCAAGCAAACACAAAGCCCAGCAGGGCCGTGGCTGTTCACCCTGTTTGTCCTGCCTTGCTGAGCCAGCAGGGTGAAGGTGCTGGTGGCTCCAGAGGCCACACGAGAGCTCTTGTGCAACATTCCACAGGAAAGAACCCACGCTGAGGCCTGGGATCAGTCCCAGCCCAAAGCACTGAGGATGGAGGCAGCACCTCCTCTCCTTCACCTCACACCACCCTGGGAACACTCAGAGCTTGCAGGAGACAATGGCAGAGGTGGGTCCCTGGCAGGTGCAGCTGCAGGGAGCACAGGGAGGGACAAGGCAGCAGCCAAGGGTGGCCCCAGCACAGGCAGGTGACAGCCCCCAGGGTCTGAGCACAGGGCCCAGAGCCTCCAGCAGTGCCCAGGCACACCAAGGTCAGGAACCAAACCCAGAATCCATTTGGGAAGGTTGGGGGAATCTTCTCAGCAGTAACAGGAGATGGGGACAGGGACAGAGCTCCATCCAGCCAAGGTACCTCCAGCAGAGCCCCAAGGGCTGTGCAAGGGGCTGATCAGAGCCAGGACATCAGAGCAGCACTCACAGCACAGCAGAGCTCAAACCTGAGTTAGATGGGGCTCCTGAGGCTTGGGCAGATGACTGGGGATGTTGTAGAGTGAACCCACCCACAGATGAGGCTGGTCAGGATGATTATGGCCAATCAGTGCCCTCAAAGCCTGACATTTGATGGATCCTGTGGGACACTGAGCCTGCGAGGAGCCCCAGGGACTTCTTCTCACAAGGTCAATCCAAACAGCTGCTATGACATGGTGGAGATGCTGTGGAGCTGGAAATGAAACATTAGGGTTAGTAAGGGCTGAGAGAGCCCTTCATGAGCATGGATCCCCCATCTCCTGGGGGCTGTGGGGAAGCATCAAGGCAGGACATGCACCTCTCATCCCCCTGAGCAGAGCAGATGTGGCATTGGTTGTCCCCTGGAGCAACCTCCACCCCTGAGGCCCCCATGGAGCTCCAGGGGAAGGGCTGTGGAGGGACACCCTTGGCACAAGGTCCTTCCCTGCACAGCCACACACCAACACCAGCAAAGCCAGGGAGTGTGTGCTCAGGGGCAGCCAAAATCTGCAGAGGAGCAGCCCCAAGAGCCCTGCTGGGGCCAGCTCTGCCTGGGGGAAATGACTGGAAATGATTCATCCTGTCAGGCCTGCCTGGATTGCATCGCCCCCTTCTTCCTCTTGCTCTCTCCAAAGGAGAGGAGAAACGAAATTAAAAAAATAAAAGTGCTTTCATTTCTTTAGAGTTCCATTATCCCCAAGTGATCTTCCTGGCCTGGTGACTCAGCTGCAGGAAACTTTCATTGACTTCTGTGTCTACCTGGAAGGGCACGGGGCTGAGAGATGGTTGGGATGAGAGTGCCTGAAATGTAGGGAAGGTGCTCATCCCTCTTGCTCCTGCCAGCTCCCCACTCCAGGCAAACCCTGGGAACTGACTCTGTCACTGAGCTGCTCTTCCCAGCTCTCCAGCACCAGAGCAGCACACAAGGGCAGCCCAAGCCCTGGCTGGGGTGGGAGAGCTCCTGTCTCAGCCCTTGTCCTCTTGCCTCCTTACAGAACAGACTTGGAGCATGGTGTTTGTTGTCTCTGAGCTGCTGTTTGACCTTAGCTTTGCTTAAACAATGCCAAAGTCCAGTTTTCTCTATTGCCTTTGTAAGATGGGAGACACAAATCCCTGTGAGGAAATATATTTCCTGCAAACATCTACAAGATCAAACCCTAAAGCAGATGGAGCAATAGCCTG